GTCTTCCTTTGTAAGTTAAGGACTTCTTTTGTCTTGCTGCTTTTAAGACTTTTTTTTTAATTACTATATTTTGCAAATTTAATTATAATATGTCTTGGTGTGGGCCTGCTTTAGTTGATTTTGATGGGCGTTCTCTATGCCTCCTGGATCTGCAGGTCTGTTTCCTTCTCCAGATTAAGGAAATTTTTATCTGTTATTTCTTCAAGTAAATTTTCTGCCCCCTTTGCTCCCTCTTCTTCTGAACTCTTAGAATAGGAATGTTACACATATGATGGAGTCACTGAGTTTCCTAAGTCTGTTCTTATGCATAATTCTTTCTCCTTAGTCAGTTTCATTATTTTCCATTATTTTGTCTTCTGGTTCACTGATCTGTTCCTCTGCTTCTTCCATGCTGTTCATTGCATCAAGCCTGTTTCTGATCCTGTTTATTATATTCTTCATCTCTGATTGATTCTTTTTTAATTCTTTATCTCTGTGGTAGGGGTCTCACTGATTTCTTCCATTCTTTTCTCAAGTCCAGTGAGTATCCTTATGATCATTGCTTCTATTCATTAGGCATTTTACTTACATCTGTTTCACTTTGATCTCTGGCCATGGCCTTATCTTGTTCTTTCATTTTGGATAATTTTCTCTGTCTTCTCATTTTGTCTAAGTCTGGGCCTGCTTCTCTGTGTTAGAAAAGCCAGTTATGTCTCCTGTTCCTGAAAGTAATGGCCTAATGAAGAAGAGGTTATGTAGTGCCCAGGGCCTGGCACTTCCAGGGAGTGTTTCCAGTGTGTTCCGCATGCACTGTTGTGTTCTGGCTACTCTGTCCTTTAGGCCAGTTGTCCACAAGACTCTCCTTGCCTGAGGGAGGCAGTATTTCATCCCTGGATGTGAATATGGTGAGTTTTAATTAGGTGTGCTCTGGACTGCTTGTGAAATGAGACCTGACACCACTTCATCCAGAACTGAGGCACTACAGAACTATGGACAGGGTTTGTGCTAGTTTTCTGGAGGAATGGCCTGCTATGCTGGGACTGATGGAATCTTGACTGAGAAGGGTGGTCCTGCTAGAGTGCAAGGGAGTGGGGCTTGATGTTAACAATTAAGGCAAGCAGTGTCAGTGCAGTGCTGGCTCTGTATTTATGCTGAGGGGTGGGCGAGTTAACTGGCACTGGCTAGCTCCTTTGTTCTAGGAGAGGTGTCACTGTGAATGCTGCCTCTCAGGGATGCCCTCAGAGAAGAGCAAATAATCTTACCCTTATGTGTCCCAGACATTCTTCAGATAGCTGTTTCCACACAGCCTGCCCCTGGTTTCTTTATCTGCCTTCTGTCCAGGAGCAGGGCATTACCCTCTGAACTCTATCCCAGCCAAGCCCACAGATCTTTAAAACTCTAGGCTTTAAGCCCCACTTGTTGGAAGATGTCATGAAATTCAGGTCCTCTCATTTTCAAGCCAGTATTTTTGGGGAAACATTCCCCTTTGCATTCCCCTGTATGCTCCTCTCTCTCTCACCCTTCTCCATGACCGCAGCTACCTCCCCTCCACAGCACCCACAATCCATTCTCCCCTAAACCAGGTCTCCACACTTCCTACCTTTATCAGTGTGGTCTCTTCTCTCCCTTTAGCTGTGGAGTTTGTTCTGTCAGTCTTCCAGTCTATTTCTGGGGTATTTAGGATGATTTGATAGTTATCTAACTGTGTTCATAGGACAAGAAGAGCCTAGAGTCCTCCTACTCTGTTGCCATATTCCTCCTCTCAAGCTGGAATCTATTAATTTCTTATAACTGCACATGAACCCAGAACTATCTCAGTAAAAATTTAAATTAAAAATGACATTTGCAGTAGCATCAGAAATATTAAATATATAGGCATATATCTGGCAAAAGATGTCAAAAGACTGAACTGATAATTATAATATATTGATAAGTGAAATTTCCAGGTACTACCTAAATATAAATGGAAAGAGAAATATTGTTCATGGGCTAGTAGTCTCAATATTAAAATTTCAATTCTTAAAATTCACTAGTAGAGGGGTGCCTGGGTGGCTCAGTCATTAAGCATCTGCCTTCGGCTCAGGTCATGATCCCAGGGTTCTGGGATCTCCCTCTCCCACTCCTCCTGCTTGTATTCCCTCTCTGTGTCTCACTCTGCCAAATAAATAAAATGAAAAAATAAATAAAATTCACCAGTAGAACCAGCATGTCCTTAGCAGGTTTTGTTTTGTTTTGTTTTGTTTTGACAAGTGGATATAAAATTTACATGCAAGTGCAAGAACCTAGAACAGTCAGATAACTGAAAAAGAAGATCAAAGTAGAGAGCTAAAACTGCATGGTAACAAGACTTAGTAAAAAGCTTCAGGATTTAAGGGGCACCTGGGTGGCTCAGTCGGTTAAGCGTCTGCCTTCAGCTTAGGTCATGATCCTGGGGTCCTGGGTTCAAGTCCCGCATTGGGCTCCCTGCTCAGCGGGGAGCCTGCTTCTCCCTTTCCCTCTGCTGCTCCCCCTGCTTGTGCTCTCTCCCTCTCTCTCTCTCTTAAATAAATTAAAATCTTCTTAGAAAATAAATAAAAATAAATTAAGCTTCAGGATTTAAGAAGTGTTGTATTGGTTACAAGATAGACAACTTACTGGAACAGAATGGAAAGTACAGATATAGACTGTCACACTGATACCTAATTTTTGATAAAGGTGAAAAGACAGTTCAGTAAAGAAGGGATTGGATACCTATATACCTGAAAAAAAATGAACTTTTTATATGAACTTCAAGCCAAATACAAAAAGTAATGCAAAATGGATTATGAATCTAAAATTTAAAACTTTGAGAAAAAACATAGGATAAAGTCTTCACAATCTTGTTTTAGGCAAAGACTTCTTAGCTATGACACCAAAAAACATAATACATAAAAGAAAAATTGATAAATTAGGTAAGAAAAATTTAAGAACTTCAGAAAACACAGTGAGAATGAAAAGACTAGCCACAAACTAGGAGAAAATACTTTGCAAAGCATATATCCAGTGAGCAGCTTTTATTCAGAACATAGCTACTCAATGGCTTTATTTTTTTTTTTTTATAATTTACTTATTTATTTTAGAGAGAGAGCACACAAGCAGGGGGAGGGTCAGAGGGGGAAGGAGAGGATCTCAAGCAGACACCTGAGCGTGGAGCCTGACGTAGAGCCTGATCTCATGACCCTGAGTTCGTGATATGAGCCGAAATCAAGAGTTGGCTGCTTAATTGACTGAGCCACCCAGGCACTCCTGCTAAGGGACTTTTGTATTCAAACTATATAAAGAACTGTCAAAACTCAATTACAAGAAAACAATATTATTTCTTTTTTTTTTTAAAGAAATATGTATTTACTTTTTTTAAAGATTTTATTTATTAGAGAGTACATGAGCAGGGGGGAGGGGTAGAAGGAGAAGCAGACTCCCTGCTGAGCAGGGAGTCTGGTGCAGGACTCGATCCCAGGATCCTGGGATTATGACCTGAGCCAGAGGCAGATGCTTAACTGACTGAGCCACCCAGCCACCTAACAATGTTATTTCTAAAAATAGAGAAAATATTTGAATAAACACTTTCTGAACTAATGTCAGTTAATATATCAAAAGATGCTCAACATCATTAGTTACTAGGGGAAGGTAAATTAAAGCCATATGAGACGTTTCTACACATGTATTGTAATAGCTGAGCTTACAAAGACCATATTAAGTATGGTCAAGGATGTATAAGAATTAGGACTCTCATACACTGCTGAAGGAAATGTAAAATGTTACAACCACTTGGAAAGATTGGTAGCTTCTTAAAAAGTTTCACACTTGTGATCTAGGGAGTCTACTTTTTTTATCCAGGAGAAAAGAAAGCATATTCCCATACAGTGACTTGGATGTGAATAGAAGCTTTATTTGTAATAGCTAAAAACTGGAAACACCCAAGTGTTTTTCAGCAGATGAATTCAGAAGCAAATGTGGTATGTCTATACGCAATGGGATATTTTTTAGCAATAAAAAGCACTGAACTGTTGATAAAATGGCAAAGACATGCATAATCTCAAAATACGTATGCTGAGTAGAAGAAGCCAGTCAGAAATGAGTACAAATTATATGATTCCATTTGTAGAAGACTCCAGAAAATGCAGACTACAGCAGGAGAGAGCCTATCAGAAGTGTAGCCTGGAGTGGGGTAAGGGGAGGAATTCAAAGAGGTTGGAAGAAACTTTTGGGGATGATGAATATGTTCAATGTCATGTTTTAATGATGGTTATATGGTATAAACTTATCAAAGTATAAACTAAATATGTGCAGTTGGCTATATATCAGTTATACTTCAATAAAGCTGCTGAAGTTGTCATAATAACTAAGGTGGTTATCAATGATTTTTTCGGCTTTATAATTCATTCTTCAAGACTGAGCAGTCGCAACATAGAGTGTACTGGCTGGTACACTTTGGCGTTTTGAGAAAAATTCACTCTAGTATTGAACAAGAAGCGTTTTTTTTTTTTTAAAGAAAACCCTGTTTTTAAAATTGACAGTATGTATTTCGCACACATTGAAATTTCCTAAAGCAAATTAGTCTTTCTCTTGAATTGATTTCATTTGTATTTTCTTAATACTAGGTTAAAATAACTTTAAGACTTTTTTTTATTCTCAGTCATAGGGACACCTGGGTGGCTCAGTCAGTTAAGCATCTGCCTTCAGCTCAGGTCATGATCCCAGGGTCCTAGGATCAAGCCCCACATCTGGCTCCCTGCTCGGCAGAGAGTCTTCCTCTGCTCCCCTCCCCCCGCTCCTGCTCTAGCGCGCGCGCGCTCTCTCTATCTCTCTCTCTCAAAAATAAATAAATAAAAATCATCTTTTAAAAAAAATAAAAGACTTTTATTCTCAGTTCAAAGTATAATGTGCTTTAACTTTATTTTCTAAGTTACAGATATCAAGTATTTTCTAAATTACAAATACCAAGTATTTAAAACTTGGTAGTTTGAGTAAATGTTTAATTGTTATGTTTTCCTTTTGGATAGTATGCACTGGAACGGCTGAAGGTCATGTGTGAAGAAGCTTTGTGTAGTAACCTCTCAGTAGAAAATGTTGCTGATACCCTTGTCCTTGCAGATTTGCACAGTGCAGAACAGCTGAAAGCACAAGCCATAGACTTTATTAATAGGTAAGCTATGCCTGTATTTCAGTGGGCATGACACCTTCAACATTTTTACGCTGGACTTTTTTTTAAGTGTGTTTAAATCTTCAATGCAGGTGCAGTGTACTTCGACAGCTTGGGTGTAAAGATGGGAAAAACTGGAACAGCAAGTAAGATGACATCAGTTTCTGACTTAAAGTTGATCTGCATACATGAAATTAAGTGTTTGCATAGTCTTTTGCTCATCTGCAATAAGTATGAATCCAGATATTAGTTATATGAAGCAAACTGCCAGTTATTTTAAAAAATAATAATTTGACTTAGTGGATTCTTGAGGCTGTGCTCCCTTGTGGATCAGCTTCTAATGTGAACTGGGATCTACATTTTAATTTCTTAAGCACATATGCTCATAGTATATAGCTGAGTCCAGGTATTTCAATGGCTATTGGAGAGCTTTTCAGAAAGCATTTCTAAAAATGTGGGAAATACTCATTTTATCCTCTGAGGAGTGTTCCCTCCATATTTGCCTAGAAAATATTTACATTTGAATGTTCACCCACTGCTTCTGGGTTAGCCAAGTCCCTTGAATCATATGGTATTTTAGAGTAGCTGTTTAATATTCCCAAATCGTTCAATTTGTTCTTTCCTTTCCCTGGTAAAACTGTAAGAGGTGTGGTAGTTGTTCCATGTTTCTAAACCTGGGCCTTCTGGATATGAACTACTAGAACTTATATTCCCTTCTTATGTTTTCTTCTCTCATTTTTAGAGTGATTTGTCTACTTTTTGTAATTTTTCAGAGTCAAAAAAGGTGAAGACTAGATAGTTTGAAGAATTTGCACCTGCTTTTGATTAGTTTTTACCTGTAAACCCTTTGATTCCATTTTCACGTATTACCAAAAGTTGATATAAGTGAAAAAAAGAGTTAGAGACTATGAGTGTTGACCTAATTACTTCCCATTGTTTTCATCTTTGACTACTTTTAAGTTATTGGTTGTTTTCTATATTGGTTAGTGTGTGATAATACATTATCATCATGGCATTTGATCCTAAAAAAATCCTTTTGATTCTAAAATATAATTTATTAGCAGTAAATGATAATTTTGTGATCCTTTGTTCTTAGCCACTTTCAAGTTCTAGTTTTATTCTGTTAAGAAAATATTTTACATTGTACAACTTTTTTCACTGTAAAAAAAAATGCCAGTTTATTTCACATCCTCTGGAGAAGCTGTTGTATATACAGATCTTCAGTAGATATTTGTTGAATTAAATGAAAATATCAGATATATTAAGAGGTATCTATTTAATTCTGAACAATTAGTTAAGTTATAAACATAATGACATAGAGGAAATATGATGTCAGGCAAATTGAAAAAAGTTATTAGCTACTGTTTAATTCCACAAACATTTACCTAGCATCTGTTGTGTCTCAAGCACCATGCTAAGGAGTTGCATATAAAAACGATTAGGAAAAATCCTTCTCTTGAGAAATTTATCTGATGATAAAAGCTAAGTACATGAATATATTATTATAATGTAGTAAGTAATATAATAAAGGAAGATATGTATAGGGCACTGGATAAAGGCTGGATGGTTTAGGGATGGCTTCCTGGAGATGACATCTGAGCCTTTAAACACGAATAAGAATTAGCAAAACTAAGAAGGAATAACAGGCATTGTGAACAGAAAGAATAGCTCAATCCAAAGTATAGAAGCATGAAGCAGTAGGTGATCATTCATTTGACAGATACTTATATTTATTACCCAGTGAATACCCTAGGCACTGTACTTATACAAAGAATATAGTAGTGAACATGACAAATGTTCCCCCTGCCTTCATGCAGTTTAGCAGGAGGCAAATAGGAATTAGACAAGTAATTGAAATAAAGTGTAACAATAGATAATGTATAGCATACCCATCCAAGCATATAGCAAAAAGAACCTTACCTAAACTAGGGAAAGAAAGCCTTTTTGAGGAATTACTGAATAAACACCTGAAATATTAGTAGGAGTTACCCTGGTAAAGAAGAGGAAGTGTGAAAGTCTATCCCACAAAAAGGGAATCAATTGTGCAAAGTTTGGGTGATAAAAAAGAACAATATAGAGTCAGAGTGAGGTTATGAGAAGAAGCTAGAGAAAGCAGGCAGAGATCAGATCCTAGAAGGCCATGTAAATAACATTGAGACTTTCAGACATTATTCAAAGAGAAATGGGCATACAGTGAAAGGTTTTAACCTAGTGTAGGACATGATCAGGTTTTCATTTTTAGCCATCTCTCTGCTTGCAGGGTAGAGGATCAGTTGTGGGGAGCTTGCGGTGGTGGTGGTAGTTGAGCGAGGTCAACTACACGTAGACACCTTGGAACATTATTGGAGTAGTTCAGGCAAGAGATGAAGGTTGAAATTAGACTTGAGTGGTAGTAGTTGGGGCTAGAGAGAAATGGAAAGATACAGTATTTTCAAAGGACAGTCTATAATATTTGGATATTATTTGAATGGTGGATAAGTACAAGGGAGAAAAGAAACAAGGATAACTGGATTTGTTATTCAGTATTTACTCTGCGTGCTCAGTTGATGTACAGTGAGCAGTTCTGGTTCAGTGTGAGGTGCCCCGAGCATATAAGCACAAGGTGCACAGGTAGAGGAAGTAGGAAAACTTGTTTCTCTGTCTAAAGAACATGGATACAGGCAGTGGGGAACAGTAGAAGAGGATGCAGTGTAAACCTGTTTGTGTTATTAAAGCAGCTCATGGAAGCCGGTTTGAAAGGAGCAAGATAGGAAACTGGAAAACAAATTAGGAGACTGTTGTGATAATCCAAATGTGAGATGATGTGAACCTTGACTGGGGATTTGAAATATCCTTGGGAATTAAAATAGGGCTTTTGATGATTCATTGGAAAGGACAAGGTCTAGGATGACTCAGGTTTTTGACTTGAATCACTGGGGATGGTGGTAACGTTAGCTGATTGGAAATGAGGGAAGAAGAATTTGGGGCGTGGAGAGAGACCTGTTGAGTTCTTACCTGACAATTCTGAGTTTGTAGGTCCTGAGTCCCTTCCAAATAAAGAGAAAAAGTGGTTGGGAGTGTACCTTGTGGGGAGGCCTAGGATTTAGCAAATCAGTCGTTATCATCATTGAATATGATAGTTAAAATTGTGAAGAGTGGGTACGATAGGATGAATAATGAACCTTAAGGGAGAAGAGCAGAGGGCCAAAGTTGGAACTCTAGAGAAAACCTGTGTGTAACGGCCAGGGAAAAGAGCTCTTGAAAGAGCTGGTACAGAAATGGTAACAGTGGGAGTTAGGACTATGGAGAAAAGTGTAAGATACTTCCAGAGTATAGACTTCCAGAATTTAATAGTTTCAGTTGCAACAGAAAATACCAGTAAGGTAAAGATGGTATTTTCATGAATTCATGGGGTTAGATGACATAGAGAAGTAAAGTGTTTTTAAAACATTTTGAAATTTGTAAGTTTTTTTTAAGTGTTTTGAGAAGTACTCTTTAATAAACATAACTTTATTTTTCCAGCCAAGCCGCGGACATAATGGAAACATCAGGGTGGAAGTCCATGATTCAGTCTCACCCTCATTTAGTTGCAGAAGCCTTCCGAGCACTAGCATCTGCACAGTGTCCACAGTTTGGCATTCCACGCAAACGGCTAAAACAGTCCTGAAATCTTCCATGAACTGTAGAAAAATGGAATTGACTTTTACTCCTCCAGGTCCAGAAGGATTCTAATATACAAACCATAAGCAAGAGTTGTTTCTGTTGTCTTGTCCACAGAACAGAAGCTGAAAAAGCATATTGCTTGCATTTCAGGTGGATAATTTATGGTTTATTCTTCAGCTTTAAATTAGACTGATTATACTCTAATTCACTTCAAGGCCTTAAATTATCTTCAATGACTTCTCTTGTTCATATAATACTTTAATTTTTTTATTGTGCCTTGTCATTTTGACTAAGGCTATGCAGGATTGCACTAGCTCCATAATGCAGTAATATTGATAACTGAAGATATTAAGTTTGAAAAGGATCTTCCATTAGTTTGAGAAAAAAGCAAAATGAATTTTGTAGGGTTTGTCCTATGCTGTCTCAAAGTTTAAAACTAGGTTCTTCTTAAAAGCACTTGTATTGGAGATTACTGATAATGTCTCCAGTCTAAGTTTTATAAATATAGGAGAACCTGCTTACCTTCAAGGTAAGTTACGGCAATACACTGCTTCAATTCTAATTTATTTTTCATTTCAGGGGGCAAATATGCAATGAGTTGGCCCAAATTTTTAGTAAAATTTATGATGTTTGTCTGTGTGTTGACTGTCCAACAAACTAAGAGAAGCATAACAAACCTTTGCTTGTGTTTTTTGTGGGTTTATTCAAGTTTACAATGATTGAGGACTGATTGAGGTTAAGATTTCAATAAAAAGAAAGCATGTTTTGTGCTGAATTAATTTTTTTTAATTTATAGTGACCTACATTTATATGAAGAATTCTGTCCATGTTGAAAGTAAGGATGACCAAATGTAAATTTAACAAGTGGGCCAATTAAGAAAGATATATATGCACTTTTAATGTGTAACTTTTGTATGCTAAATGGTACATATTTTTTTTGTTTTGAAGGTATTAATAAGGTATAATTAATTGTGTCTTAACTTTTGAAAGGATTTTTTAAGACCGATGGAGGCAATTGGGATGTTTGTGATAATAGATAAGAAAGATATCCTTGAATATAGTTAAATTGGTTTGAATTTCAGATATTTATTATTGAATTTATTCCTGTCTTATCACACTTTGGAGAAGGCAACTGAACAATAAACAAATCGTGGATACTCTACTCTCCTTCTGAAAACAGTGAACTTACATTATTTGCAGACTAGAGGAGAGAACCTTTAGAAATATGTCAGGCCACACGCTGAAACCTTTATTCCCCCCCTAGCTTTCTCCTTTCTGTTTCAGTTACTGTACTAACATTGTGGATGATACTGAAATTCTGCATAATGTGAACAGGATAAACAATTTATAAACTGTTTTTCATGGGCCAGTTCTTTATTATAAATGAATTTAGCTTTAAACACATACACGTGTTCAGTGTTTGGATAGCTGTGTTCACAGTGGAGGTCTGTTCTGGTGCATTGTCCCAGAGAAGTAGGAGCGATCAGTGGTAAGTCACTGCATCTGATTTCCTGTAATAGTGACAGTATACTTCTTAGGCAAGATTTATACTTGACCACAAGGGAAAAAGTGTCACTGGAAAAAAACACATATACCTATATATATTTGCATATATACTTTATTCTCCAGATTAAAATTTGTATGATGTGTTTATTTAATTTTTGAATTTAGGACAAAAGGAGAAAAATGAAGCCTGAGATTTTATTTTTGTTATCTCTTTGTTAGGTATTAACTGAAGCAATCCTAATATATAAAGAGTGATTCATATTTACATTAAACAAACATTCTCGACTAAGCATTTGTTATCCACAACAAACTGTAGTTTGAAAAGATCATATTTTCAGATATCTTCATTTCTTTCTGTGTAGTTTAATTGGAATCTTTCTTATGTTAACTTAAATTTGAAATTGGAAAAATCCCTTGGGATAGAAGGATTCTTACATGTTGTTGGACTCCATCCTGTGTAAAAATACTGTAGGGAGCAGAACCTCACTTCCTTAACCAGATTGAGTCCATTAAATTTACAATGTACAAATTTAATACACACACATACATATATACGTTAAGATTTTAATGTTTTGCCAGGGTTTTAAAATTCCTCAGACAGTAGAATGTTGTTTTCAAAAAAAGTACTGGTGTATCCATTTATATCAAATGCACACAGGCTCATTGTGAATTAATTCACTGCTTGCATCTTCATTTCTAACGATGGTGACTTCAGTAATAACACCTATATAATGAACACTGCAGCTTGCTCCTACCTACTTACTTTCGTGTTTATTGCAGATCTTAAGGGTTTTATTATAAAGTTATTTTTTGGTTTGTTTTTGTTTTAAGTTTGGTAGCACATTTTGTACCAAAAACGTCAAACACTGTGCTGTGAGAATATCCACGTTTGTAGAAATGTCCACTTTGCAGATAATATAATGCCTACCATTATACTAACAGAATCGTATCATAGTTGATTTATTTTTTTTTTTATTTATTACGTGGGAATTTTGTTTTTTGTTTGTTTTGTTTGGTTTGGTATTGTGGGTTCTTGAGGCAATGAAAAAAAAACTCAGTGTATTCTGCGTGAGTGCTCTAATAGCCTTTTTATTTTTTCATTTTGAAACTACACACATTGTTTTCAGTAGGCACAGTCTCTGTCCTGAGCAGTTTTGCCTTTTATCAGTCTGCTCTTGTTTCCCTTTTGTCACCTAAACAGAGCTTTTCCTTAGAAAAGTAGTGACTGGTTTTAAATGTTACATGTTATTGAAGTAACCATTGGAGATCTGTTCATTAGCCTGAGATACAGAAACACTGTATTTGTGCCTTTTTTGTTTTTAAATTTTAACATATATTGGTATTTAGAGCACAAATATGAAGGTGCCATAATGTTATGGCTTGCCATTGTTACCTCCTTGAATACTCGTGTGTCATTGTCTTGAAATAGTAATTGGAGAACCATGCATGTATTATGTCATTTTGGGTGTGTGTGTGTGTGTGTGTGTGTGTGTGTGTGTGTGTGTGTACGTACGTACGTACATACTTGTGTTTGCTTGGACTTGTGTGTGGTATGTTCAGAAGAGTGAATTTCTGAAAATAGGACTCAGTTAAATGTTGAAAATTCAGGTTAGTTGAAATATTTCATTAAATATGCTTTATTTTGGGGGACAGTTGATAGGAAATTATAATTTTCAAAAATGTGACCATTTACTGCATGATGAAATGTGAAAACAGTGCCTTTTTAGGACATCAGTTTTAAAGTTAAGTTTTAAAATATTCTCACAGATCTCTTAAAAACTTATCATGAACATTATTAGCTTATTTTTAAACTAGACCTAAGTTAAAATTTAAATTGCCAAAAGCATAATTACTGATTTATTTACCCACTTAAGTTTTGTGCATAAATGTAAAACCTAAGTAAAATTTTTTATGAAAATGGTGGATCATATATGCTACCCAGTGTTACTAAATTAGAACACTAGAGACTTCAGCAAATTGTTTTGTTAAAATCCAACTAAACAAGCTTTCCTCGTAACAAGGTATTTGAAAGGTGAATTATTCTGACTTGGACATTCTTGCTCTTTGATGGATAAAATAAAAATACTCCATGTATTCTTGCAAAAGGAGGTGGGTGGGTGGGTTTTACTATTTTCAGATTATAAAGACAGCACTTTCAGCACATAGAGTATTTTGCAAACCTCTTTTATACAGATTATGAGCTCTATTTAAGTGTTCATGGAATGATGTCAATTTTAGGTCTAGTTGAACAAATATTGAGTGCCTACCATATGCAAGACTTCCTCTTCACTAGGAATGAAATCACCACACCGTGTCTTCTGTTTGCAGTATGTGGACTTTATGTTTAAAAAGAAATTCTTATATTTAAATCTTTTTCTGTTTGTTAGAGTTTATCGTTGTATACTGTAACCCAGTTAATTTCACATCCGGTTTTTTTAGAATGAAGATATAACTTAAATGAGTCCCATTTTTGAAAATAAAATTCTGCTAAAATTATTTAAAAATTAAATCTGGGGGAACGTGATTTTCAAGATTCAAATGTGTAAAGACTTATATTGAACTTTTCAGCCTCATTTTTAATCAGCTGATGTTAATGATGAGATACATACTTTTGTATCTTGTTGCTGAAAATATTTTTTGCATTTCAACACGTTGAGTTAAAATAAAGTTGTTACTACTTATTCAGAATTAATTGGTTTATTTTGTGTTTATTTGAAAATACGAATTTTTTCATTTTCAGATTGCTATGATGCTTTGCAAAAGAGCCATGTGTTTGATGTGGTAACTTTAAATTATGCATAGTAGTTGTCTTTCCTACATAGGAAAGCTAGTATTTTTTGGAACCTACTGAAGACTTACTCCTTAACTGTGATATATACCTATGTTTGCTTTAACATATGCATTATCAGGTATTGAAAGATTTATGCTAATGTCCTGTAGCTTTAATGTAGTACATAAAGATCATCTTTCCCTGGTCCTCCTGTCCCTTCTTAATTTTAACTGACAACTTAATTATTTGCTGCCATCAAAAAGGGCAGAATTGGGGCAATGCACTCGTGGCCTCGTTTAGCAACAGTAACACAATTAGTGCATAAAAATTATGGCCAAAGTGGCAGTTTGAATGCACAGTGAAAAACCTTCCATACACCCAACACACATATACACATGTACACACACCCTTAGAAGAATAAAGGAAGGCTTGAAAAACTTAAGAATATTGTCTGTTCAATTAAAGTAAAATAGGACAGGTAGTGGTGATATTCTAAACTTTAAATGAATTATGTATAACCATTCCCCTTCTACTCTGCAGCAGCCAGCACTCTGAACATATTTTTTAGAACATTGGGATGTAGTGTTTCCTCAGTTCTACCACCCAAGAATCATTTATTTCTAAGAGAATGCCAAGAGTAGTATTTGTTTTGATCACTACTTTTAAATAGAAGACACACTGGTAGAAATCTTGCATGTGATACCTTGTTGCTACTTTTTTTGGTATCAGGTTTGCATGTATCTGCAGTGGATAGTGGCAAAAAAGTTTGTCCTTTCTGTTATGAATGCTTCCTTTTCACCTCTTCTTCTTTTGCTTTCCATCCTTATTTTTTTATAAGGATTCAGGTATAGCCAAACAATTGTAGGATTTAGGAATAATATACCTCACGCGCGTGTGCACACACACACACAACCAAAAACCAAATAAAAAAAGCAGTGTCCTGACAATTCTGATACTCACTTTGCTCTAAAATAGATTTACTGCCATGGCAGGTTATTAGAACGTATGCTTAATTTTAGCTAAAAAGTTGTGCAGTTCATGAAAATGGAATGGGCAGAAATGAGGAAAAATAAAAATGACATGCAGTTGAAAAAGAGCAAAATTAGATGCATCAAACATGATAAATACCAGAAATGCAAAGCGGAAATTTGAATCAATAGAAGACAAGGCTCACAAATGCTCCCAGATCACAAAGACAAGAATAGATGAAAATAAAGATTCAGTTTAATTTCTATATCAATAGAGTGCCAGGCATTGTACAGAACTTGATAAACACAGTATAAATAGCCCATATCCTCATAAGTATATTCTTGAAGAAAGCACAGTTATATAATATGAATGTGAATTGTGATAGGAGTACAAGAGGGCCACCTAATCTGGGACGGTGATGGAGATCCCAGATATCTTCTGAGGAAGTGATGTCTAAATTGAAACTGAGTGGAAGTTAGGCGGCTTAGTGGGAATGTCATCCAACCCATTATATGAAATCCCAGAGGTTGACCAAGGTTCATAAAGAAGTGTATGGGAATGAAGATACATCCTTATGTGTAAGAGAAGGGAAGAGTAAACCAGAAGGTGAAGGTCATGATTTTCTTGAAGGTATTAGAGGAGTCAAATTTAATTTGAGTGTTGAGGCATTTTAAGTGTGGTTATGTCATGATCAGTAACCTAGCAATCTTCAGATGAATTACAGGGGGCCGGAGGAGAAGGTAAGGAGACTTCTGAAGAGATGAGGAATGCTAGTGCTCTGCTAGGCCAGGAGGACTGAAATGGAACAAAAGGGAGAAATCTATGAGGAACTACTGGGAGGGCTTGGAAATAAATTGCATATGGTGGAAGGAAGAGACAGGATTCAAGAGGTACTCCTTGGTGTATTTGAGCAACTGGTTGGAGGGTAGTACTATTCACTGATAACAGTAATCACAAGAGTAACAGCAGCTTTGAGAGAAAACAATTTTGATTTGGAGCCTGTTGAGCTTATGATTTTTATTGGACATTCTGGTTGGGTATGTGACTCTTAGACATGAGAGTGACCTGGGTTATAAAGTCAGGAATCTTCAACATACAGAAGATAATTGGTGCATGCAGGTTAATAAAAAGAACAGGGAAGAAACAAGAATAGAGAAAGAGCGGTTTACGAAAGATGATGAATGGTCACAAAGATAAAACCAGAAGAGTGACTCATCCCAGAAGTTGGAAAAAAAGAATGCTTCAAGAGAAGAAATGGCTAACAGCATCAGATGCTGAGCCGTCAAGTAGGAAACTAGAAAATGAATTCAATATTTGAAAGAGGACAGGAGTCTGAAGTAGGGAAAGAAGGATTGGAGTGAGAAAGGGGATGCTCCTAGTATAGAACATAGAACATTCGGCGAAGACAGCAAAGAAGAAACTAGCTATGGGATGGGGTTTAGGATCAGTTTCTTACTTTGCTCTCTTTCTGGTAGGAGGAGTGTTTGTATATTAAGGTAATTATGAGGAGTCAGAAAGTAGTAAACAGATGGGATTCCTGAGGTTTTAGTCAGAAGAGAAGAGAGATGGAATTAGATACCAGACAGAAAGATTGCTCCTAACATGTGCAAGGGAGAAGTGGATGCAGAGTCAGACTTGCACATTGTTTTGTTTTGGTCTGAAAGTTAATATTTTATGCCTCATTCCTTGTGAAGTCATCTGTTCAGAGTAAAGGGGGCAGGTGATGTGTTTATAGAGCAGAAATCAGCAAACTTACTTCATAAAGGACTTAGGTAGTAAATATTTTACCTACTCAACCATGCCATTGTAGCTTGAAAGCCGCCATAAACAACATGTAAATGAATGGGTGTGGCTGTGTTCCATTAGAACTATTTACAAAAGCAGGCAGTGGGCTGGATTTGACTCTTGTGCCATAGTTTGCTGAGTTCAAAAGTTTGAGAAGACCAGAGTAGCTTTGGAATAACTGATATGAAAATACGTGGATGGCCAAATTGGAGACCATGACTTTATAGAGGATGAGTTAAGGAGAACAAATGTTTGCATAATTGATATTGCCAAAGAAATAACTGGAAGACAAATGGTGACTAAAGATATTAATCATTTTTCTTTAAAAAAGATGAATTTTGGGGTGCCTGGGTGACTGTTGGTAGAGCATGTGACTCAGTCTCAGGGTTTTAAGTTCAAACTACACATTTGAGTGTAGAGATTAAAATATTTTTTTTTAAAAAATGAATTTTGGAAATGAGAAAATGTACAGGGCTCCAGGTAGAATTCATCAACAGTTGTCCAAACCTAGACACAATGGGTGACTTGTAAATTGCAAAGATAAGTAGCATGAGCATCCAAGAAATAAGTATTTTGAAGTCCTATTTCTCTGACGAGACTTTCAGTGAAAAAAATTTTTACTCAAAAACTTAGCTGTGTAGTAATTCACTTCTAATGTTAACATTTAAATTATATAGAATTAGTATATTAACACAGTGCCTGAAGCGTAGGCAATGATGAATATTGATAAAAATTAATCCAAGCATAGGAACTTGAGGCTTAAAAGGACTGGCAATGAGTATTAAACTGTTAGAAGGAAGTCTAACTTACTGTAACATACACAACAACCATAAATGTAAAAGTTGACCACAACCCCCCATCCCAACCTGGTGCGCTCCCAACCCTGCCTGCCCCTCCTCCTTCAGGATGACCTGTGGAGACAGCTATTAGCCTCCCTGCAGAGGGGTCTTCTTGCCTTGCTGATGAACCTTGGCTGGTTTAGAAATATAAACTATATAAAATGTAAAAATATAAATGTTATAAATGTAAAAGTGGTCATCTATTGTAAATATAAAGGAAACCAGACAGGAGGAAGATGGGGAACTGGAATTAGGAAATAAAAGTGCAAAATTCTTCCTCTTGCATAAATGGGAATTAAAAATGTTTTCTTACTGATTTTTAAACTTTGAGTTACAACCATTTAAGGATTTTTTTTAAGGTTTTATTTATTTGAGAGAGAGAAAGCATGAAAGGGGGGGAGGGTCAGAGGGAGAAGCAGACTCCCCGCTGAGCAGGGAGCCCGATGTGGGACTCAATCCCGGGACTCCCGGATCATGACCTGAGCCAAAGGCAGTTGCTTAACCAACTGAGCCACCCAGGCGCCCCTAAGGATTTTTTTTTTTTTTAATTAAGAAGCTTTATATCCACTGGTAGAATTTAAAATAGACTACATATATATCCTCCAAAACGTGTGTGTGGCAAAGTGGGGGAAAAACCAATTAGGACACCAAAAAAAGGAGAAGGCAAAGATAAAATTACAAAGATCTAGCAGAACTAGAATGACAAATGGAATAGATTAAACACACCTACTCTAAGAAAAACTTAGCAGTGGTCTCATTCAGCAGGTTGTGCTAGCTGGGAATAATGTGAGAGAAATGCCCTATTCTGATGGAGTTTACTAAAATCAATAATAAAATTTAAGCCTTGTGAAAGGGAAGTAAAGGGTGTTGTGTAGCACATCTCACAGTCCACAGTTCCTAGCCAGGCATAGAGGAAGAAGAGCATTTTTATAAAGGAACAAGTGTGACAGCCCAGGGGTGAGAGCAGGTAGTTATTTTACTGAAATTCAGTAGAGCTGAAGGGTAGTGCTTTCTGTTGATGTGTAGTGTCTCTGTGTTTGTGTGTCTTCTCTTGGGGATAGAAATCCAAGTGAGAGAATCGCAGTAGGACTAAGTCAGGAAAGCCCTTTTAAGTTCTAAATTGCCCAAATTGACTAGATCAAGGGA